GCTCTAAATACACCCTCCAATAAAGTGGACCTGTCACTAGATCTATTTTTCATCTTAAGTGCAGCGAGCTCAGTAATGTGTCAGTGTAACACTTCCAGGTATTTACTACCTCTCACAGAGATCACAGGACTCCCCGTGACTCTTCTTGTCTGCAGCAGACTGATAACTGGGGGAGGGGAGACTGAGGAAATGCTTCCTCCTGCCTGCAGCAGACTGATCACTGGGGGAGGGGAGACTGAGAAAATGCTTCCTCCTGCCTGGAGCAGACTGATCTCCGGGGGAGGGGGGAGACTGAGGAAATGTTTTATTAATAGGAGAAATTGTTTAAAAGTTGCATTGCATTAAAAAACATGAAATTGAATAATAATAAAATGCATTTCACAAAAACCAAACTGCAAACATTATAAATAGTTTCCATAAGAGGTTCCCAGTTGCATGCGATCAGTTTAGAGGCCACAAGCCCAGGTTGGAGTGGAGTGGGTTCAGTTTATCTGTCTGGTTTTAATTGCTGTCTGTGTCACCATCGTGAAGATTTTCGGTCACTTCCTGTGTGGTCCCTGGAACAGGAAATAAGGGGAAGTCTTCCCAGGAAAGACAGACAGTTTGGAAGATGTAAACCTTCCCAGAAACAAGAGTTTTGCCCGGAGTTTGGCTTTGTGTCCGGGAGAATAATACAAAGTATCGTCTATGATTAATGTAACCGCTCTCTGATTGTAGGACGGTGGACGGAGCGACGAATGTCGGCGTGGTGAAGAAGAAGGAGGACGCCGGTCAGCAGTACGAGCGAGCCGTCTCCCGGGGGGAAAGCGCTGGACTCGTCCAGTAGGTGTTATCACTGTATCGCTTCTCCGTGAATGTGGACAATTCGCCGATCAGTCTGCTGTAGTTCCTCAGTCGCAGGCGGAATGTATGGGGACACACAGGGCTGGATTTCCCACAAGGCCAACCAGGGCCCGGCCTCGGGACGGCAGGGAGTAGAGGGGGCAGCAGGGAGTAGAGGGGCGGCAGGGAGTAGAGGGGGCAGCAGGGAGTAGAGGGGGAGTATTATCAAGAGGCAGAGCCAGCTGTACCCGCCCCCTCCCCCGTCCGTTCCGACAGTCAGCGCGGAAGGGTCGGGGGGGGGGGGGGGGGCGCATTGAGGAACCTGGCCTTGGGGCAACTGAGAGAGTAAATCCGGCCCTGGGGACACAATGTCATTCCGATCCCTCATTGTAACGAGAACCATCAAATATTCATCATTTCTCCTCCACGGTTTCACATTCACTTTGCTGCGGAACCTAGCCCAAGTGAAGCGAGTGAATGACGTTCGGCTAATTCCCTCCGGCTCGGTGTGGCTAAAATCAGCCGTACATCAGCTGCCGCCGGCTGCACTTCGGTCAGCTGAACATGCTCTGCGTGTTCGGTTGTTCCGAAGTGCAGAAGGACTCAGCCGATCCAACATCTGGATCTGCTGAGTCACAGCTCCGGCAGCTCACTCTCTGCCGTTCGCCCCTATTCACATAGGGGCCCAAATAGCAGTGAGTGAATAGCCGAGTGCCGCCGGGCGAGGGTATTCGGCTCGGCTATTCTGCTCGGTACCTCTGTGGTACCGAGCAGAATAGCAAAAAGTTTTAAAAAAAATAGAAAAAAAAAGTTGAATAAATATTAAATAAAAAAAATAAAGATTTTGTAAAAAAAAAAAAAAAAAAAAAATTGGGCGGAGCTAGCAGTGACAGCTAGCCCCGCCCAACTGCTTCCTATTGGCCGGCACCTGCTAGAGTCTTCTAACAGGTCCTGGCCAATGAATACCAACTGGGCAGAGCCAGCCGTGACCTCACGGCCGGCTCCACCCAGTTGTTATTGTTTACTGGCAGATCATTTGGGGGGACGCTGATCTGTCATTACAACTGGCCGGAGCCAGCCGGCTCCGCCCAGCTGCCATTTGCGGGGCTTACGGCTGGCCCATCGGCAGGCCGGTTACCCCACTTGGGGCCGTAACATATGCCTTCAGCTCGTCTGAGCCTCTCGGACGCTGTACGGACTATAGTGAATAGCCTGTACAGCAGCCCATCGGTTTGACTGAAGAGAGCCGAAGGATCAGCTGAAGCCACGGTTGTATCCTTCGGCTCCCTTGTGAATAACCACCTAAAACGTGTTAGCTTCACATGAAGTCGGGAAGAAGTAGGACCTCGGTCAGCTTTCTATCGCTGTTTCTGGGAGACTCATCCTCTCGGTCTGTCACCAAAACAGGGATAGAGGGGAAATCTTATTCCAGTGACAACTAAGAGAGGATTTCCCTCACATTTTGGGAGAATTGCCCTTTTTTTGTGGTGTGTCTCCAGGATAGGGGAGGAGGGGAACTCCTCAACATGGCAGAGACAGCAGGAAAAAAACAAAACAAAATCAGGGATTCTTACCATTTCATGGCCAAATTCAGCTCACCAGTTGTGGTGACTGGATGAGCTACAAGCCCCCCCC